TTATTGTTGAGTAGATTGGGGGTCCCATTATTGTCGAACAGGGTGGGTCGAAATGAGCTTAAAAAACGAGCAGGGTCATGCCATGTTTCCCTGAGAGAATCGTTTTTTTCAGAATTTATTATTAAAACAAATTAAGTCAAAAAAGGGTTGAAATTGCCCGCCGTCAACCTCGAGAGGAAGATCAAGGATGGTCTGGGTTGCAGGTTACGTAAAATCGAAAAGTTTCGGCCGCTGCAAGTGCCACCAGACGGCGAACGCCGTGTTAGTCTGTGTACTGGATAAATAGCTGCAAAAAAACGAAAAATAGAGATTCTACCTTCACTCTTCCAGTTCAACCATTAGATCCCAGACCCACTTCGCGGTGCTTTAATGGCCAATCTGTTCTTGTCATCAGTCTAAAAATTGCACATGTGAAACATGCGCTTAGACAGTCCTGCAAGTGTAAGATCTGATGTCATGAAGTTTTTAAGGATATTTTTCAGAAGCGTCGTCATTTTCGTTCACCCGTTGGCTACAACTTAGTGTTGGCTGCTGTGCCGACACTGCGCGACCTATGGAGACTGCAACGCTTGGCGTCAAGGCTTGTGATTTTAAGATTTTCGAGTGCGCATGATCAAAATTGCGTCACATAACTTGTATTACCATTCGATTAAAGTGTTTAAATATTATAATTTCAGAAGCGTCATCATGCTCAGCTGACTATGGAGACTGCAACGCCTGGTAGCGAGGTTTTTGTCGCGAAGATTTGGGAGCGCGCATGTTAAAAAAATCCGTTACACAAATTGTACCACTAATCGATTCTGACTAAATGGTAAACGTTTTCAGACAAATGTGGCTTGGCCATGTTAATGCACATTGTTGGTCACTCGATCTGCAATCAAATTTTCATCATTATTTTTTGATCAAACATATCGATATATAATCTACCTTCGCAACGTCCTCAATGTTTGTAGAGCCCAGATAAAAAACTCTGACAAAGCTTCTGAATTTAATCGGTTTAGAAAGAGTCAACTAACCATTGCAAATTAAGAGCCCCGGTGATTCATTCCATGCAGTCGCTCAACACCTGATTCATGCAGTTTATTGACCTCGAAATACAAACAGAATTGAGCTCACGGTAGGTCCTGATTTCTGATCTGGTTAAAGCGTTTCTGCAGTTTCTGCCGTTTATTGACCCCAAAATACAAGCAGAATTGAGCTCACGGCAGCTCCAGGTCTCTGTTCTGATTACAACCTAAAAATAACAATAAAACGAAGAAGGCCTTGCCACTTGTTAACAGGTGAGGTAGATTAGGGGATTTTGGGCGGGATCACCATAAGATGGGCTTTTGTCAACCTTGTTTCCCCTTGGCAAAGCCCGCGCTACGCCCATGCCTACACACAAAAGCAGATCAAGTCGCATAGGTTGCATGATGGGCAATGAAGTGTCCGTTGAGTCAATTCATGCCTAAGGCAGACAGCTTTCCGGAGGCTGTTTTTCTGGGATGGTGTGGTGTAAGGGAAGATAATTCGGAAAAAGAGGCTGTTGCAGGTGTTCAGCACATGTTTCATACACCATGTAGTAGTAACGCCGATCCAAAAGTATGCAACAAAGCGGCCATGCGATCAGTTCGCAGTCAGTCATGCGCGAGACATCCGGGCCAGGGCAGTGGCCACAGAGGGCGGACAGGAGCAGGGCTCAGATAAGGAACATATGACAGATGGGCCTTATTGTGTAGATTGGTTCTTGAAAGAGAATCTCTAGTCTTGTGGCTTTTGCCACATTGTTTCTGGTAGTTTCAAGCTACCGACTTTGTTTCCGCCTAAAATGCCGCTACAAGTCTTATTTCTTGTAAATCAGCCAGCGAAATGAAGGCGCATGAGAAGTCCTGTCGCACTGTGAGCCATGGATCGATTTTCAAAATTCTCACCAGCCAATATCCAGGCCGTATTTTGGCATCTTCATTATGGAGGTACATGCTTCCTCAATGACCCAAAATGCCTACCCGCTCGTGGAATTTCGCCTCCCCAGGAAAAACGACGTAAAAATGGACGATTGATCTTGGGAAGCTTGATAGCCTTATTTGCCAAATGACATCATGTGAATATGCAATATTGTGCACAGTGAGAACAGTTCCAGATGCATATCTAGCATAGCAGCCATGACACTCGATTAAAGGGCAATAACGACCTGCACCCCTACCGCCCCAAACCCCCCCCCCCCCCCCGGTCATCGGGCTTGCTTTCCAGAAAAAGTTGCTGAAGTACGCCCTGTGGTTGGCCTCCCCCACTTTTGGAAACGTCCCTACGCCTATGTCTCATTTAAAGCCTTCCCTGCAAATATTTTGCCTACAAGTGCAAATAAAATATGCATATGGATGAACACTGCAGAATGACTCACTTCCACAGCGTGGCTATTACAGCAGAGGTGCTATCATCAGGAACTAGCCAACAATGTCCTCAGAGAGAACCAAATGTTAATATTTTACTGAAATCCTGTGACATTTCGACCCCAATCCCACAAAACCTGCATACTTTTTAAGCAAAACTCGTGATAAAGGGTAAGATGGCAATGGACCCTGTACCCCCTTCCTCATCATTACCTAGATTTGCCTCACTCCTCATTCCTCACTTCCCATTGCCCCCCCCCCCCCCCCCCATTGCCTACATCATTGGCTATCGTATAAGTTTCCAGCAACCAGGACTCATATCAGCAAAACTTGAACCGTAAATAATCATTGAAATGCTAAAAAAACATTGATGAAATAACTGCCTAGAACGGACAAAGCTTTTGAAGGTAGGATGGGGGAGCAGTCAGAAATAACGTAACGTACCCCAAAATATGGATGTCTTCCAGGCTGCCACACTTCTTCACAAACTTAGTGGAAGGGTCGAAGCCCTGGACTGAATGTACAGCTAGGTACACCGCCGATTTGTAAATCTATGTAACTGGTAGCCATCATCAATCGGGATAGGAGCAAAAGTCGCATAAATTGGCACTGCGGAACCATTCTGACCGCCTATCAATTTATCATATGCGAAGTGCCTCAGACTTTAACATCGAACGCACGGTTCTTTTCCAAGAGGGAAGGCTGGTCGCTTGTGACTGTTACGGTGAGTAACAGCCTTGTCAGACTTCGTTGTCATAAAGAGACAGTCAGGATAATCTCGTGTTAATTTCTACCTCGATCGGATCATCTCGCCGACGTACCCTGAACTGCAAATACCCCTCGTCGCTGATGACAGCATGCTGAATCGCGGCACCGCCAACGAAGTAAACAAGGCCCAAAAATGAAACCCTAGGCAGGCATTCAAGACACTGCGACGCGAACGCCACTTGCAAAGCCGTCGTGCATTGAAAGTCACCGCCCACCTCATATCAGTCGCCTTGCAACGATTGAAACATGTTCATGCGGCCAGATGAAACCCCCTCCCTCTCCCATATGCAGATCTCTTCAGTAGTCTATGTTGTCTAGTTTGGGACTCTGGGAGTCGGCTGGTAAAATCAGCGATTCGGCCGACAGGCCGCGCCCTAGGATATACACTGCTCTTTCTCCGACCTGTGACCTGAGCGAACGACCAACTAAAAGGCATAGGATATTGTTGTTGCCGGGTTGGGATGAAAACTAAAAGGCATTATGGTGCCGTAAGGTACGGTAAAGGGGTTTTACAGGAAGGTTTGCTTGTCTTGCGTGACGAAATGCCTTACCATGGAGGCATAAATATTATGTAGCGAGACCATATGTTCCATTTTGCAGAGTGGGCTTTATAATTTCGTTGTGGCCGTCAACAAAATTTTATATGAAACACATTTCTTGGCACACTGCAAAACCTTGTGAAGCCGCAACAGCTTCGCTTAAACATATACATGTTTGTTGCCGACCTTATCCGCCAAGTCGGCACGTTCTAAGACCCCTGACAGCGTGGCACAATCACCTTATTGCCCTTCATTGCTCTATATTGCACTTAATGCACAGCTTATTGCACTCGCATTGTCCCCCTATATTTTTTACGGTAAGCACATAGGTTTGATATAAAGAACCAGTTAAATCCGAGTAATAAAACGAGCACAAATCCACCCAACATTGCACATTTTGCAAATTCCGAATCAGATTTGGTTCCATGCATCATGGCGCATTATTGTGGCAAAGGAAACGGCATTTATCAATGGCATTTTTAACCGGTTTTACGCAAAGCGGCAAATATAGAATACATGGACACGTTGATCACCTATTTAGCAGTGAGCGGACTGTTCCAAACCATTCGTTCTGGACGAGTTTGAGTGCGATGCAGTCTCATTTTATGTTAAATGGACATTTTGTCATCCAGTGAAGTTAAACACATTCGTAAATTATACAACTATCTATTTGTTCAGCTCAAGAAGAGTTATGTTGCGCAAACTGGTTTCACAACAAAAAAGCAGTGCAAGAAGTACATAAAAGAATAGTTCACGCCGGTTTGTCTCATTTCCTTTTGGAACGTGCATATAGCATGCGAACATTCTATGCACTATGCACGGTCCTATTGGAACATGCATAGTGCATAGAACGTATAGAACATGCGAGACAACATGCTGTCTGTGTGGTTTACCATTTTGATATGCACTTAACATCAGAATATGGACAATGCACGCTGTTTCTGATAAATCGGAATGAACTCTCCGCCCGCCTGCGGCCCGGAATTATAGCAGTGAACAGCTGAGACAGAGTCGGCGCAAAATTCCACATGGTCGCTGCTCCACCGTTTCCGATGACTCAACCGGTAGATGCTCGACCGTTTCCGGTGACTCAGCCGGTGGCTGCCCCACCGTTTCCGGTGACGCCACCGGTGGCTGCTCGGGAATGGCCAGTTCCGTCTCGATAGAGCCAACACTGGAGGCTGGTCCTGGAGGACGAGGGACCATCAACCTTGGAGGGCCTCCGGTGTTTTGCGGCACTTGCTCTCTCTGAGATGGTATTTGCTGCCGTCTCGTGACTGGCGCTGGTAGTCGCCTGGGCGCCGGCGCCGTTTGCGGGCGGTACCGGCCGCGCGCGGCCACCCCCAGGTAGTTCCTGTAGGCGTGCGCCGAGCGGACTTCGCCATGCTCCACCAGGTGGTCGACCAGCGAGGCCAGGAATGCGTCGGACCGCACGGTAGCCGTGTCGCAGACGACGAACAGCTGTCGACGGGCTCGCGTCACCGCCACGTTGATGCGGCGTCGCTCGGCCAGGAAGCCGACCTGACCGCGCTGGTTGGATCGCACCAGCGACAGCAGCACGGCCTCCTTCTCACGGCCCTGGAAGCCGTCCACCGTGCCCACCGCCACGTCCAGCCGCAGCTGACGCAGGCGGGCGCGCACCAGGTCCAGCTGCCGCTTGTAGGGCGAGATGACGCCCAGCTGGCCGATATCTAGCCCAGCGCGCAGCAGCGCACGCGCGTGTGCCACCACGATGTCCGCCTCGCCCTCGTTCGCAATGGAGCCCATCTTTGAGTCGGGCGTCTCCTCCAGCCGACAGCCGGCCGTGTCGACCACCAGCAGGACGGGGCCCGTCTCTGTCGTGTCGCGCACGCCCGGCAACTGCGACAGTCGGTGCCGGCACACGGCCGGCGCCGCCTCTAGAAGGCTGCCGTACATCGCCTCCGACGGCCAGCGCTGAATGTGCTCGTGCATGCGGTACTGGGTGCGCAGCATGCGCACGACTGCCGCACCGTGCAGCGCCATTTGGCGCTCCATCAGCGACACGGCCAGGCCCTTCTCCGCGGCCTCCCGGCTCAGGACCATCGGCGGCAGCTGAGAGTGGTCGCCCGCCAGCAGCAGCTTGTTTGCGAGGGGCGCCGCTAGCCAGCAGGCCGCCTCCAGTGCTTGCGAACATTCCTCGATCACGACTAAGTCAAACGGCGCCTTGCCGTCTGTTGGAAAATGTTCTGAAGCGTCGCCGTCGTCGTCGTCGTCGTCGTCGTCGGACACGTCGATGTCTTTGACTGTTTCCACAGCTGGTGTTAGATTGTCGAGCAGCCCACTTAAGTCTGGGAGGCTGTGGATCCGGAGCCTAAGGTTGGCAGCGTGCGACAGTGTGCACAGAACGACCCTGGCCAAGCCAAGTATTTTCTCAGACACGCGATCCCACTGCGCCCGTTCTTGTTTCTTGTCATTCGTTGACATCCAAAAATGTTTCTGTGCGGACTCGTATTGATCATGGTTGATGAAGTCCTCAACTAGCCCTTTGAGGGTTAAGTGTTGCAGCGACTCGCGGACGCGTACGGGATTACCCACACGAACCATCCTCTCGCCACGAGCGGCCTCCAGACGGTCCAGAACGTTGTCCACCGCATTGTGTGACGCCGCACACACGAGCACACGCTGGCCCAGCCGCTGGTGCTGCAGGATCACCTCGACAACGGTGGCGGTCTTGCCGGTGCCGGGCGGGCCGTGGATGATGGCCAGCCGCCGCTGGCGCAGCGCGAACTCCACCGTGCGTCGCTGGCCGTCGTCCAGCCGCCGGTTGATGAGCCGTAGCTGGCCGTCGGCCTCCGCCAACTGCGGCGGCAGGCGCTGCGCCGGCGGCTTCAGCGGCACCTCGGCGAACAGCGCGGCCCGCATCCGCAGGATCGGCCCACCCTTCGCTTCAGCCAGCTCCTCCAGCGCTTTCACCATGTTCTTGTGCGTCATCTCGTCGTCGGTCCTCATCACGCTGACGGGCTCGCCCACGACGAGCGAGGTGACCTCTCCGAAGTCCAGCGTGAGCTCGGCCTTGGTGACGCGTGACACGACGCCGCACCAGACGTCGCCTGGCACCGGCTCGCGCGAGGCCGTGCGCCCCGCTGTACGACGCGCCACCACGGAGTCCGAGGCCCGGCGCGTGATCACATGGTCGTTGGCGCGGATGCTGTGCCGGGGCAGTTTGCGTGCCCGGGGGCCGGTCGAACGCAGCACCAGACGCTGACCACAAAAGGTGCGACTGGCGGCGGTGACGGCCACCGAGGACAGCAAATTGCCTGACGCCTGCTGCCGCTGTCGCTCCCGCTGTTGCCGGTGCTCCATCTCCAGCAGGCGCAGGTGGAGACGAACGAAGTCCTGGCAGGTTACCAGCTCCATCGTGGCCGTAGCTGCAATATCGGGGAGCGGCTTACAAGCGCGTGTCGACGCTGAGCGGTCGGTCCTGGGTCACCGGCCTATTATGAAAACGACCACAATTTTCATCAGATTTAAACGTCATATTCTGAACACAGTGAAACACATCAGCCTGGGATGTAACCAAAAGCTCGAAAATGCATCACGAAGTGAGGAAAAAAGACTATCAACCAGAATACAAGGCCGCTGAGACGCCAAAAAAAGTGTCTGTGACATGTCTATTATACTCAAATGCCTTTTGATAGACTGTAGTAATATCCTTATTCATTGTAGAAAAAAACAGTAGAACGGAGAGATAGATGCGTTGATATTTCGGCAACATGCCTTTATCGAAACGAATGTCAGTCTTAGTTTTTCTACGAGGAATAAGGCTATTACTACCGTCTTATCCACATGCACGACGTTTCTCGCAAGTGCACGTAACAACTCACATACCTTTAAATTCAGTCTGACAAAATTTCACTACATTCGCAAGCAAACTGCAACTACATGCCGCACACTACAACATACTACATACTACAGCATACTACGTACTACCAGGCCGTTGTCATCCCAATGCCTCTATACGGGTTTGCACGACTTGGCCGATTGACGTCACCGGGGCAAACTTTCATGGTCTTTTTAAGACTTTCCTTTCAATGAACGTGAAGCTTTCTGTGGTTGTATGGAAATTTTTAGTCTCTTTTTGTCAACTTCAGCGTTTTTTATAATTGTGAAGCTTATACTTTTTATTCAGATTTTGCAGTGTATTAGTGAACCACAATGGCAGATTGCAGCACTTTTAGGCAGCTTTTGCCGACAATTCCATCGGTTGCTTTGGGCGATGGCGTGACGCATTGACGCAGACGCAAGCGAGGCTGAAGTTTCTATGGTCTTGAGCAAGGCTATGTAACGGAGGGGTGGTTGATGGACTCAAGGACGTTTGAGAGCTGAATAGTGATTGGAAATAACAGTTAGCATTGAAAACATCGTAGGAAATACCATTTCCAATCTTCAATCATTTCAACGTGGCGAAAGCGGGTATGTATTACGCAGTGTGCCGTTGATGTAGAGCAGTCTTTGTCTCTGAAAGAAGCAGTAGCGGTGAAACATTTATGGAGAAAGTGAGGAGGGGGAGGTGGCTCGATTTGTACCCGTGATTTGCACGGCAGTGATATGTGCCTCGTTGCTTTTCATGCATTGTCAAAGAGCTGGTGTTTAATGCTTAAATATTCAATGTTTCACGAGGTTAGAGGGGATGGTCCGGGTCTCCAATGCGCCGCCCGCAAGAAGAACCACTGGTGTCCTGGCTCCCGGCTGGTGGTTTGCATTTAGGAAAGAGATGATGATTTCTGTTGATGTCTGAGAACTCTGCGTTTTCTATCATTTCTCTGTGTCAAATATCATGGCACGTATAAACTGAACCGAATGTGGAGCCACTGACGCAGGCAGAAGGGGAGGGGTACAAGGGGCACAAGCCCTCACCCCCCCCCCCCCCTCCTTAGGTTCCGGATTCCGAGGGTCCAGGAGGGGCAACCGGACCGACGATCAAGGACCCTATCAGAGGGCCTGAGGACATGGCCAAAATGGAGTCTCCTTCAGGGGCCCGACGTGTGGGAACGGGCCCTCAGATGACAGTTAGCGGATCTTTTTCGCAGTTAGGGGGCTCCTTAGTCGACAAGGTTTTGGCACTGAGTCTTGCACTGGCACTATCACTGGCACTGGCACTGGCACTGGCACTGGCACTGGCGCTGGTTCTGGCACCTGTGTCTGACACCACCAGTGCCGTACAGCTGGCGCCGTCTTGGTATGTGCATGAGGGCCCACTTTCAGAACAAACAGCGACCATACTTGGGCCCCTGCATCTATCAGGGGCCTACAGTGCCTACCAGAGGGTCGTGTGTTGGCCAGGGGTCCCGAGTCGACCAAGAGCAGTGTTCAGTGAGGCCAGAAGACGGGCCTGGGGCTCGCCGAAACCGACAATCAAGAACCTGATTGGAGGGCATGAGGGCTCGAAGGACTGGCTGTAGGTCACACAAAGGATCACGACCCGTAGGACAATTGAGTCCCTCTGAAATATTAGACAGGGGACTCCTTATACCGTTTGAGGACCCCTGAGACATTACAACACGAAACAGTTGGCTACACGTCGGTCTGAACCCTGGTATTTCATTTTCCAAGCAAGGACAAGGCCGGGGCCATGATTTGCATTGGTCTGGCTGCCTAAAACAATGATTGGGCTCCGGTGTTGGTCATGGGTCCACGGTGCCTAACAGTGGGCCATATATCGGCAAGTGTCCCGAGACCGTCAGGGGCTTTGTTTGAGCTGGCCGAAAAGGGACCCATGTCCCCTCGGGACCAGAGATCAAGGACCCGATTGGAATGCTGAGAAGACCATAGGGCCAGAAGGTTGCAATAAGAACGCACTCCGTCCGTTGGGCCGTGACCTTTAAAGCCGGTCAAAGGCCCACTGCATCGATTGGGGATCCGTGGGACAGTGCGGGCCTCGCGCACTAACGTTTGAGCACTCAGCCTTAATCTGTGCCAGACCAGTTCTTAAGTTAATAGAGTGGCCGGATGAGTCCACCTTGAAAGAGAAAGGGCTTGGGTACGCTCCTGGTGCATGTGCTGGGTATTTGACAAATAACAAATATCGCGGTGGAAAAAGCTGCGCACTGTTTGGTTCCCTAACAGCCAGGCATCCCGCGCTGTGCGTTTTTCACTGTTGGAGCTTTTGTCATCCTCAGGCTTGGATTTATCACCGTTACGCGAGCATGCCTATCTAACTTTCGGCGGATGAGGTCGCATGCCCAGCACCGAGCTAACCGTCCTCGGGGGTCGCTCGTCCACTGCACCAGGTGTGCCAGCTCCCGCGGAATGCTGGGGGCCTGCAGCACGTCCAGACCGAGGGTGTTTTCGGCCGGCGGCGACTCAGTCACTCAACTTAACAACTCAGCCAGCATGGTCGGGTCAAGGGTCGATGGAGGGATTTGATGTCGCCAATACTGTCGCACTACGTTCCATCTGCCAAAACACCTATGCATTCGCCCATCATGTCATGATCATGCCCTGCCTTCAAACAGCACGCCATCAAGGTGGATGCGTGGTTTCCAAGTTCCAGTTCGATGCTGGCACCATTCATGCGGTACTCCGGGTGCTGAAGCCGGTAGTGGAGATCGTGGACCCGCTGGAGTGCATCTGATCCTGCTTCTGCGTTAGCGAGATAACATTGCACAGCCGACAGTCTTATAACTTGAGCCTGCTGTCAGGCGTGAGCGTGAGCCTGCTGTGAGCCTGCAAAGTCCCAATCAAGACACGCAGTCAAAGCGCATGCTTAGCTTGCCGACATCTGGTAATAACCTGGCAACATTTTCAGTGTGCCACGTAAACTCGGCTAGTGTCAGCTTATCAAGAACACGTCGTCATCAACTAATTACAACGCACTCAGCTGCTGAGGCTATGTGGCGTCGCCTGCCTCTTATGGTGGTAGGAGGGGGCGGCAACGCGGAAGCTTGGATCACGTCCATCCGGTTTCCTAAACTCCCAGCGTAACCAGTGTGCTATCGGCATACCTATTTCATGTGGTCATCTGACGTGATGAGATGATGACGTGCAGCGGTGTCACTTTCTGAAATCGGTTTCGAGGGCTGAGCCAATGTGTTTAACCTATCCTACCCTGATCCCCTACCTGATTTTGTTAGCTTTAGTAAACGTCTCCGGTGTTAAAATACCAAATTTTAGCAAATATTCCATGGATTCCGAAACAGCGCGTATCACCATGCACCACCGGCAGTCAACCAATCGCCTATCTGCAGAATGCTCAGCTGTTGTGGGTACTGAACCGCCGGCGCGCCACCTGGAGCCCCTTAGGTCGCAATATGGCGGCTGTGGAATCAATGATGACCACGTTAAATGTATTTTGACATTCCATGGGCAGCCGATTGTCACCAGTTACGATTGTGCGGTAAATGCGCTCACCGCTTTTGGGGGAAACGCGGATTAACTTTTATCTGGGTCACGATGTGCTTTTATACACTCAGATATTGCAGTCAGGTGTTCTTTAGCACAATTTGGGTATCATCATGTGCAAAACCTTCAAACACTTTCACACGAACCTTTCATGTGGTGGAGTTGGCAGGACTGAGACACTGGCTGGCATGTAATACTATGATACCGAATGAGCATGACACTTAGAGTGGAGTTTCCAGGTATCTAATGTGCGAATAGTTGATACAAATGGCACTTCTTTGCCCCTGTAATCTTTATTTGTTTATATGCACTGAGGGGTTCTAGTCATCAATGGAAGGCCCAGTCCCCACCCCCCCCCCCCCGCCACCCCCACCCGCGAAAGCATATAAACGAACTCCTCTGAACTGATCCGTAGCATGGTCCGGTGCCACGTCAGTAAGCTCATTGGCGTGACAGAGTCACGGCACATTGGTGTGGATAACTAAAATGCATGTACTCTTACAACGACGGCAATTGTAATGTCATGTGGCGATTTAAGAAGACGGAGATTCAGAGGAATTTATCGGAATCATTCGCACGCCTATCGAAGACAAATGCCCCCAAGGGCTCAGGTTTCGAATTGTCATTTGCATGGTTCAGTTACATCTCAAGTTTGCGATCACCTCGCTCTTGCCACCCTTCTTGAGTGACCGCATTGATGTGGTCAACTGGTGTTACCTCATTCGTCGAATTCACGACACCCCTCTCAAGAATTCAGTCATCTTGACATGCCAGTTACTTTATTCTGAGGTTTAACACAAGTCCAAGCAAAAGCAAGTAGCGATGAAAAATGGAGTAAATGACGCACTTGTGCGTGATCGTTCCAGGCTGCTGACTTACCCCAACCGGACCAGACGGCTCTCCGACAGCGTTCTAACCCGGTGTTCCTGTCAGCTCCTTGCTCCTTCTTCAGCCGCAAGTGCACACTTCACATTTACCCGATCAATATGAGTTGACGCCTCGGGCAATCGCGCGTC